AGCAGTTAATAGATCTGCAGTTATCGCTCTTGTTTTTGTCAATTTATACTTACTTAAAAACTACTTAGAAATAAAAGCAATTTATAATTTTAAGTAATTTTTCTTTTTTAATCATTTCACCTCAAGCAAGGTGATAATGACATTAGGACGCTGGGAGTTACAGAGAGTGAAAGAGAATGAGAAGACTTTAGTGAGGAGAATTAAGGAAAGGGGCAATAAAAGAACAGGACTGAGAATGACAGAAGATGGCGATTGATGTTACATTTAAACTTTTGAAGATTGTTGGTAGAAATCAAAAGTGAGTTCCACAGGCGAGTAGTGAGAGAAAAGAAACTATTAGAATAAAAGTGATGGTTGCATCTAACTAGTTCAACAATAAAATGATGAAACTTAGTTGCCAATCTAGTAGTACACTTAAGTTCATGCATTTGAGGCACTACGGAGAACAGCTAATCAGGTCAATTGTCATGAAAATATTTGTAGAAAAGACAGAGGGAAGCCACATTATGTTGGTAAGAAAGTGACTGAGGTTGAGATGCCAGGTCAGGAATACACAATATTTCTTAGATAGGAAATGCTAGACACAAGAAACTTTCAATATAAGTTTAATTTATTTTCATTTTGATTATAAGAAAATTGCACTATGACATGTCATTTTTGCTGGGTGACATTAACAGGCAAACAAACATACAGAAATTAGATAATTATAACAAAGATATGAATTTTAAGGCCTGTATCTCTTCCAAGGTTCTTAATAGGACACAACACAACCCAGAAACAAAATCATTTCACCAGATCTTTTCTTTCTGGTAATCAGCCATTTAGATAATTTTATAAACTTTTTTTGTAGAAAGAAAATTTTGATTTTTAATAAATTTGAACATTGATCATCATCAACTGTGTTGTTGATTTTGTTTGAAGTAAAACGAAGAAATTTATTTTATACTTATACTCAAAGCAATATTTAAAGAGAAACATTCATAAAAAAGAAGTATGTAAGAATAACAATCAAAACATTTGATAGAAAATATAAATGCAAATAGGAAAAATGTAAAAAGATATAGAACAAAAAAATAAAAAACGAATTCATTAAAGTACAATTCTACTGGGACAGAGCCAAATATAAAAATGAAAGAAACAGTACATGTGTATCCAAGCAAGATGATCTGAGCGTGTCCAGGACAATATGGCTTTTTGGATTGTTGTCATCTTTCAGCTTCATATCGATAAGGAAAAATTGTCAGTATCCTCTTCCCTTTGTCATTAAAGTAGTTGTAACAAAATTAAGTTTGAGTGATGATCAAAAAAATTAATTTTGTCAGATCATATCTTTGTTAGTATTTGAGAATTTCAATGCTGAATAAGCAAATAAGTGAAAATATTTTCAAAAGTTTCAATGGCAAATATGTTCAAAAGCTGGTTGAAGTTGATGTCATCTGTAACTAATTTGTAGAATCCAAAATTCATTTTGTCACAAAAATTGATATCAACAAAATAAAAGTAAACTTTCATTAAAATAAACCATTTTTTAAATGACTGCGGTGTGAGTGTCTGCACATAAAATACTGATAACAACAATTTTTATATAACTTTTCAAAAGTTCAACCATTTTCAGATGCATGTATGCATACAGACATATACATACATATGTGTGCGTTTGTGGGTGGGTGCATGCTGAAAACTTCTTAGTTTGACCCACTTAAAAAAATTTGAATGGATTTTTTTTTATTCATTCTTGATGAAGTCAAGAACTTTTCAACACACCCGTGTGTATGTATAGAATTCAAACAAAAGTGAAGAAATAAGATCAAAGTGTCTAGCAGAGATTGGCAGTTTTAATACAAAAATAAAAAAATAACTGCAGTTTTGATCTTTCATTCTGACCAGAAGATGCCTACTTAACTACTTAATGAAGGTGAAACACATTGACAACAAAAATGTTTTGCACCTTGCTGAATATATATATACACACACACACACATATATATATGTGTGTGTATGTGATTAAATAAGGAAGATAATATGAAAACGTTTATGAATTTATCATGTTTTGCTTTTATTTTAACTTCATCAGAATGTGAAATAAGTTATGGAAGAGAATGTTTTGACATTGAATAACTCATTTCCAAAGAAATTTCTGATAAAGCTAGAATAAAAGTGAAACATGATAAATTTATAAATATTTTCCTATTTGTTCCTCATTTAATCAGTGCCAGATTTAACCCATTTATATTTCAATTCAGAAATATATAAAAGAAGAGAGAAACCACAAACGTTTTTGGTTGTAATGTGGATTTTTTTTTTAAAATATATGCTTTAAACTGCAACTTATCTACAAATACAAGAAAAAAACTTCATAAACAAATTTAAACCAGCACTAAATAGATCATAACCCCACATGCAAAAGCACACAACATGCACACATAATGGCCAAATACAGTGGTCAAACCACTCGAATCCATGTGTTTACACTCACACTCAGGTATATGTGGAGCAAAATATGTATACGCATATTGGCAAAAACAATAGACTACTCACAGGCACGCACACAAACCCTACACAACATGGGAAGTGTGTGTATGTATGCATATATGTATGTGTGTATCCTAATTCCTTATAATAAGACAGTGTGTATGTATAGAGTGGGTACATGTGCGTACTGGTGTATATATATATATATATATATATATATATATACACACACACATGCTAACAAGAACAAAACTGCTCACGGGCACACACGCAAACCCTACACAACATAGAAAGTGTGTGTTTGTATGTATGTGCATATGTGTGTATACTAATTTCTTATAATAAGACAATATGTATGTATGGAGAGGGAATATACATATGTGCATGCATGCTGACAAAAATACAAAAAAATGGCAATAGATCTAAGAACACCCAGGGGTCATTAAAAGATAAGAATATAGATATCCTCTTCACCCTTTCTCGGACCAGTCTTAATTGTTTTATTACCCATCATGCAGAACTTTTTCACTGCCAATTCAAGGAAGACATTTGGGTCACTAACACACAAAAAGAGAATGTCTAATATCAAGAATATTTAACATCGAAAAAAATAAGAAAAAATGAATTCCTTTTAATAATATGTGGAAATATCCACTCTTTGTCTGATGAAGGTCACAAAACCAGAAACCTGTGTCGCAAAATTATAGCAAATAAAGCATAATATATTTTTTTAAAAAATCCACATTACAACCAAAAATGTTTGCGGTTTCTCTCTTCTTTTTAATATACACACTTTTCTCTCATTGGAACTACTATAGCCTCTTCCCTTTATATATATGTGCATGTGAGTGCACATACAGAGGTAATTGAGTTTCAGACCAAAAGACAAAAAATATAACAGTACTTCTGGAGATTATATATTTATGAGTAGGTGCTGAAAAGTTGTCAGCTTGACTAAGATTCTCTTCCCACAAAAAAAATTCTGTTTGGTAATTTAATTAGATTCTATCTGGAAAAGAGGCCAGGCTAACCTTTCACCACCTCCTCATACATATATGATTTCTCACTGTTTTTTTAAAAACTAATTCAAGAGATACAACTCAATTTCTTAGAAATGCCATATGTGTAAAGTGGATATTATTATAACATAAAATGTATTATTATATATGTAAACTTATGAAAACTGTATATGTATCTATTTGAAGTGTTACAGATAGATCAATTTGGGGAGATTAAAAAGAAATCTTCAACTTAAGAACCAACCATGCATCAATTTGGGGCATTTTTATGTCATGTGAGTAAAAGATTCAAATTAAATTAAAAAAGAATATTTGAAAATATTAGATGTGATTTATATGAGTAAAAAAAAACTGATGGTTCAGTTTGATGCTTATATCAATATATGTTATCCTCACTTTTCACAATTTCATAACATGAATGAATAAGATATTTTCCTTTTTTTTTTTTTTAAATTATTAACAACTGGGGTATCAGATATTTTCCCAAAGATCTTTAATACAGAAAATCCATGTGAGTTTCGGTGTTCAAAATAATTTGGATTAAAAATTAACTTGACAACATCATTTATCTTTTTTTTTCTGTCTGAATTTCTGGGATGATAAGTTATCATTATTTACACTATTTATATTTGGACTATTGTCCTCATCTTTGTTGTTGTCTGTACGTCGGTACTAGCCAACACAGGAGAACTTATGTCACTAAATTCCCAACAACAATAAGAAAATAGTATGAATATAAATAGTGTAAATAATCCTTTATCCCTATTTACATTTAAACTATTGGCCTCATCTTTGTTGTCATTCTCATGTTTTGGCCATTGTACCCTCCAGCCTTCTTAGGATTGCTTGTTGATCCAGTAATCTTCAGGAAATTTGAACTGAACTTTTAATTTAATCTTGTTCCACTCTCCATGTCTACACATAGCTTGTCTTGTTCTTATTTAGTAATGCTCTATTATTGTTCACCCTGTTTCCACTGAGTTTAAATTCCAGCCCAGGAGAATTTACAATTACTATATCACTAAATTCACAAACAAACACTAACTTACTAGACTATTGTTCCATTAGACAATCCTGGGTCTAGAAGTAAGAACCTTAAACCTAGTCTGCCTGCTCCTGACAATGCTGCTGCTATCATGCTTAACTGCATTCACCAAGGTTTCAGACAAAAAATCTTTCATCTGTTTGAGGACCTAGATGAATCTTAATCAAAAGAGATCAAAGCAAATAAGTGGGCCAATATTTCTTAAGACTAATAATATTGACAGCAAATATATTTTCATTTTGAGACCCACCAATCAACAATTAAACCATTCTCCCAAAGCAGCTTGATTTGTTATCTGAAAAAAAAAAAAAAATCTTTACTGTTTCAATATGATATTGTCATAAGGCTTTAATTCTGTTGGAACATGGAGAGATAAAAAAAAAGGTTAGAGAATCTACTGGCTAAAAAAATAAATGTTAAAAATTACATAAGAACCATAGTCTCAAGTATACAGAATAATGGCTTCAGCAAGAAAATGTGTTCACTTCTGGTTTCATGTATAGATTACCTTGGGTGTCTAAGATGACTGAATAGTTAGGGTTATGATTAGACTGCAGCAATTGAGGTTGAAAATCGCTAACATCAATGGCAGATGTTGAAGAAGAAACAGCCAGTTTAGCAACATAAGGTGACTCATTATCCACAGCATAATTCTCCTTTTTCTTGTTGCCTTTCTTAATACATTTATCATTAGTGCCTTTGCTATTTGTCTTGCTTGAGTCAATATTAATAAAAGAAGTTGTTGGTTTTGGCATAGTTAACTTCTTAAAGCTGTTTGGCCCCAGGGATATGACTCTAGTCATATCTGACAGTGACAAGTCAGTAGGGTATGAACTATCTGTGCCTGTAGCCCGGCAGACTTTTAAATGTCTGTGCAGCTGTGTCAAGTGCGTGAACATACGTCGACAGTTCTTACATCCATATGGCTTCTCTCCAGTGTGTCTACGCAAGTGGACAATCAGGATGCTCGACTTTGAGAACCTGGCCTGGCAGTAATCACATTTGAATGGCCGCTCACCAGTATGGGTGCGGACATGTTGCTTGAGGTTGTGTGCCAAAGAAAAAGACTTGCCACAACTTCGGCATTGAAAGCGTTTCTCATTATTACCATTATTCTTGGAGCCATTGTTTCTTCTAGATTTGGATTTAGCAGGATTTACAGAAGGAACAGAAAGAGGTGTAGTTGTAGTATTGGGAATTTCATATGCAGACAGCTGCAATGGCAACTGAAGATGGCTTTTAGGAGGTTGGGCTGATAAGGCAGGGAAAATTGAAGAATTCCTATGTGATTTAGAAGATGTAATGTTAGTTTTGTCAGCATTATCATGTAAACTATTTGCTTCTTGTGGTGATAATGTTTTTACTGTAGTTTTCAGTGTCATATTAAAATCACAGTTCTGGTTTTCTTTAAAGTTTGTCAAATGTGGCAATTCAGGGGTGAGAATTTCAGGCCCTGTGTGGTGTGATGTTGCTGGAACTGAATGTGTGGCATAAAACATCCCAGCAATACTGTTTATCTCAGCTTCACTTAAAGACCCACAAGTACTACTAATTCCAAGATCGTAATTATCATTGCAATTTGGATACCCTCTTCTACTGCCAATGTTTGTACTCTTTGATCCTTTGATGGTTCCAAGAGGACCCTCACCAGCTTGAAGACCTTGGAGGGAAGTATTACAAACTTTTTTGTGTCGGTGCAACTGTGTAGAATAAGTGAATGACATTTCACAAAGATCACATTTGAATGGCATTTCACCTGTGTGTTTTCGAATATGTGCATTTAGAATGCTGGTCATGGTAAATGTTTGCCCACAATATTCACAGGTATGCTTTTTAGTCTTATTATAACGTTTCAGGTGTTTGTCTAGGCTTTCCTGAAAGAAGAATGTCCGGCTACAATGGCTGCACTTGAGGAGAGGTTGTGTCTTTGTATTACTTTCAAAGGTTTCACCTATCAAATTCTCTTCTTTAGCAGATGTTTTTGGATAATGGACAACAGATGTTTCAAAATTGACATCATTTTGGAACAAATCAAAAGAAGAAACATTCATATTTGACAAGCATGATTCATTCATCTTTGGGAGGTTGTTGTAGGAATTTGTATTCTGGATTTGAATTTGGTTAACAGCATTCTTTAAATCATGGTCTCTTGTTAAATGTTCTGGGTTTATGATAGATGAAAGTATAGATTTATCTTCTTTGATATTTTTCTCTGTATCAAACAAGGTTACTTCTGTATTCCTTGAGTTTTCTTGTTCACTGTTATTTTCAAATTGGTCACTTCTTTTACTACTGTCATTATCTCTTTGCATTTGAGCAGTACACAAAAAATTAGACATGTTTACCTTAATGTCCTCATTGGTTCTAGAACCGGCATTAATATCTATCTGGTCTTGGACTGTGCTAGCTCCCTTTTTGGCTGGGTCAATCTTACTGGGAGAATAATTCTGTAAGCCTTTCTTTGGAGTCTTTCTATTTTGTTTGCACTTAGTTCGATGCCAACGAAACTGTGCAGAATAGGCGAATGTCTCTTTGCAAGAGTTACACATATATATTTTCTGCTGAACATGTCTTCGCAAATGTGTCACAAGCACACTCTGTAAGGAAAAACATCTGCCACAACTTTCACATGAGTATCGTCTGGTATTCTTTCTTGTGTAGTTAAAAGAGTAACATTTCTGTGGCTTGTTACAATGGTCACACACAAGTAAGTTTATGTCTGTGTGTATCTGGATATGTTTTGTCAGCTCATGAGCAGTTTCAAAGTTATGCTCACAAAACCGACACTGGAACGGATTTTTCATATGGCATTTTGTGTGGGCTTCAAGCCTCTGTGAGCAAGAAAATAATTTGGGGCAAAATTTACATTTGTATGGCTTTTGAGTTGAGCAAACATTCAGGAGTTGAACATGACTCTTCTCTGAGCATTGATACCCTAGCCTGTGTTGGAAATCCTCAGTTTCAGAATTTCTCTCAGAGAAGAGATTCAAAACCTCAAGAGGTTTTCGAGTTGCTTCTCTGTTCATTATGGAATTGGTAACTATCATCAATAATGCATTTTTGAAGAATTTCTTTTTTTCTATGTAATTCTACCAATGAGTTGAGAGAAGGTGGAAGAATTTTTCATTTACTTTTTCAGTAAATGATGAAAAATCAAACAATTCCTGAGTGAAAATTCAGTCGTTTTTCTTCCATTCAAAAAAGCAGTTTCCATTTTAGGAGGAAGCAAGTGCCTAGAAATGAAAAAAAGAAATTTACTTGTAAAATAAATCACATTAGAAAATATACCATTTAAAATATTCATCAAAGTTGTTTTTTAATGTGAAAAATATGGCATATATTTTAATCAGTTTTTGATATGAAATATTGAGCATAAAAAGTTTGTAGATGATAATTTTATTCTTTATATTACACTTAAGAAAGATAATGATCTATATTATAATGATTTGATTTTTGATTGAGAGTTTCTTACATAGTAAAAACTGCACATGACATCAAAATTTTTGTTACTGAAATACTATTAAAATGTTCTAATTTAGTGAATAAAGTAACTTCCAATCCAATTTGTAAACTTAATAATAATAGTGTGGGGTCTGTATTCAAACTCACTCCAATCATCTATTAAAATGTTTCCATTTCTTAAGAGAGAAATATCCAGGTATATTAAATTCTATTATAGAGTAATTTCATTTATTTATTTGCAAATAATTTTATTATATAGGTTTTTAATCATAAAACAATAAAAAATGAGAGATCATAAGGGGATTTTAATTATCACAATATCATTAAAATATTCTAACTTGCAATCTCTAATCTAATTTGCAAATTATTAATAATGTGGGGTCTGCATTGTGCTCACCTCAAATGCACCGTATAAGATAACTACATGTTTTTAAATATTATTTATAGAGTAGTTTCTCTTATTTCTTCAGCTATTTACCTATAATGGAAATTTTATAAAAACACAAAGTGATTTTTGCAAAACATTGATAGTCAAACGATTTGAAACTTTACACTAAATGTCAATTAGCCTCTTAATGCCAAATGTAAAATCCAGTATCAGTTATAAAAATAAAAATCTGGTATTAATTATATGTTTCTACTTAACCCATTCATTAATGAATGCCTACTGTCTTTGTTTTTTTTGAAGGATGGTGGACATTATTGGGTTAAAATTTGCTATTCTAAGATTGAACGAAGGCAAAAAAAGAAACTCCTTGATTACATATAGCAATAATATTCATTCCTCTTAGGTCAATCTAATTGTTTTCTTTCATGTTATGTTATTTCAAGACGTAGGCAATCATGGCTCTCCACAAATCCCTTTTTTGCTCTAAGTAATTCTTGCTCTTTACAATATCTTTGTTTTTGCTTTTCTTGTTCTACCATTTATTTACTCGGACTTGTTAAGTAGTCACTCTCGGACTAATTATCTAAATCTAACCAGATACATTTCTATAAAACTCCAAATACTCTAATTTAAAAAAAAAAAAGAAAAAGTTTTGTTTTTTTCTTCTAAAAAGCAATATCAAGCTTTTTCTACAGAACAATTTAAAATTATGTTATTTTACTTATGGCTCTTTTCTGGTTAGACATTTATTAAGATGTTTAGTAATTTAAATATTTTTTTATGTTGAAAAACTTTTTATAAAAAAAGAAAGTAGCAGATGATTTATGAAGTTAGGTAAAAAGAATGTTCTGGTTTGGAGGCTGAAACTAATTTTTATGTAATTTCAATTTAGTGAAAATAATGTTTTTTAAATATTAATCCACTTTTTTTAACAGATCATTAACTTAATTTTTTTCATTAATTCTTGTCTTTGCCTTCATAACGTGAACATAATTTGAATAAAGAAGATTCTTTATATGGAAGGCAGTTAAATTCCTATCACCAAGGATTGGCTAACTTGTCACAATTAGTAACATGAGTGACAATTATTGCATAATGTCTGGTGAAAATGTGTCAAGTTATAATAAAGACAATTAAGTCCCCTAGACCTTATCTAATTTCATTGATAATAACCATTAATTTCTAATTATTTTTAGAAAAATGAAAAGAAAATTAAATTTTGATAAGACAAAAATGAATCTTTCAGCTTTATTTTGTGGATAAATGTATTTTTAAAAAAATTCTAATAATTCGAGGTTTGCTGAAATGTACAATCCAAATTGTATAAATAGATGGCAGAACAGCAATTCAGAGAGATAATCAGGAGACAAACATTAAAACACAAAAGAAAAGGTAGTTGTGGAGAGCCGTGGTCACCCATAACCTGACATGACACACAAAAGGAGCAGCAACTCTTAAAATAGAATCTGTTAACTATCTAGATGCAATTAGTAAGAAAAATTAAACAGAACATTTTTTGAAACTCTTCAATGTAGCCATCATTAATAAAATTGAACTTTTCAATGTATTTAATGAATATAAAAACAAAATTTGCATAGAATTACATACGCTTTTATTTCACAAACAAATATTTATTTTTCAGTATAACTGCTTTTTCTGTCAATGCCCATAATTCAGGTCAGTTATATAATGAAAATTTCAGATCAAAATTGAAACACTCTTGTCTGTGTGCACAGATAGATAAATAAACAGCAAAGAAAAAATGGATTATTAAAATTATCAAATAGAAATTAGGGTTCATAAAAGAAAAGAATTAGATTTTACTAAGATACTAGTTAAAACATTTTTTGACAAGTATATAAGGTTTGATTTACACTTCAATCCATTCACTCATCAAACAAGTTAGTGAAAAGCTTTTTTAAAATATTTCAATATGAGAACAGATAAAAAGTTTTAACATTTTTAACAAATTATTCAAATGGAATCTGTTTGAAGTTATAATGTAAGAATTTAATATATCTTAAGTCATTATGTCTTCACTATTTACATTATTCGGACTATTGTCCTCATCTTTGTCGCCATATTTATTACAACGTTTCAGCTCTTTATTTCGCTCACTGGGTTAGACTGTTCTAGTTCCACATGCCATGTCTAATGGATGTCAGTTATCAGTTATCTCCTGTTAATTCCCCTCTCCAAGTTCTCCACTGCTTTAACCAGGTATTGAACTCACACTCTTTGGGTCCTGTCACTGGATCTAAGTTAAGGTGGTGGAGAACTTAGAGAGGGGAATTAACAGGAGATAATTGACATCCATTAGACATGGCACGTGGAACTACAACAGTCTACCCCAACAAGCAAAATAAAGGGTTCAGTTCGATATTCCAACCACCTGAAGAAGGCCAGAGCATACAATGGCCGAAACGTTGTAATAAATATGGCGACAAAGATGAAAACAATAGTCTGAATAATGTAAATAGTGTACATAATACTTCATCTCAGAAATATAAACAGATACTCATTATGTCTTCTATTGCTGACATTCGGTTTCTTAAAATATTACTTATTTCATTACTATGAATTAAACATGACTAATTTTGTTAGAATATATTAAATAAATTAAAATATTACTTATTAAAATGTTACCTAATTTAAATGAAATGGGGGTGGTGAACAACAAGGGCCATTTCCACTTTTTTCCACAGGGTTTCAGGTTCAAGCCCTAGATTATTAGGTTGGTTGGTTGTTTTTGTTTAGTGGCATATCAACCTCTATGCTTTATTTAATGCCATAATCTAAATATTTTCTACACAATTTTATGGCTTCAATTACAGATATTTTGTATATAATTTTATACTTTCAGGGCAAACATGTTTTTTAGATATATAGTTGTAGATGATAAAATGTATTGTTGGTAATTTAAAAAAAAATATATTACTAGTAATTTTATGATAAAAATGTCTTTTTATATTATTTTAGTATTGTATTGAATGTCATCTTGCTATAAAAATGTATTGTTGATAGCAATTTTTTTTCTTATAAAAATGTATTGCTGGTAATTTCACTACAAAAATATATTGCTGGTATTTTTACTAAAAAAAAAAGAACACACTTTGATTTTTGTTTGGATTTTTTATTAGACCATATCCAACAGGTGCTACCACACCGGGTCAGGGTGGACCTGGGAGCAACAGTAATTAAGAGGTGGTTCCACACGCTTCCAATCAGAGGCCTTGCTGTAGATTATTAGAGTTGTTATAACCTTCCAGCAGGACTGTTCTTTTGCAACAAAGCCTCTTAGCCCTCCAGGTTTTGACATAGGGCTGGGAAGTTATTGAGATAGAGACGAACCAGCAAACTCACTAAAGGCCACCATTATGGCTGTGATGGCCAACAATGAACGAGAACCACTCAAAATGGGTATGAAGTTACTTTTGAGGCTGTATCAAGGACAGCCTCAAAGTTGAGAGCATTTTTATTGAATAACCTCTTCTGATTTTCTATTTTTAAATCGTGTAAAACCATCTTCTTCTTTTTTTTAAATACTGTTCTTTTTCTATTGAATATCTTTGTTTCTATTTATAATTTGTTTTCAATTTCCTGGATCACTCTAGTCCTGGAAAGTCTTAGAAAAAAAACAAATCATCATTTGTGGACACCCAGATGACATCTTCAGACAATATTATATGCCTTGATATTTGGACCAGCATATCATCTTGATTGTTATACTCACACATGTACAACTTTACCCAAATTTTCAAAGACTGTATTGCATTGAGGTCCACAGTCAGTAGTCACATGTCACCCTCTGAGCAGATTCCTCCTATGTATAATCAACCCACTAACAGGAAAGTCTCTCTCCTATGGAAAGAACTTTGTGGAGGCCATCAGAGATTCTCCCATTCACACCAACTGAATAGTGAGTTTAGATGTTCACTAAAGCTCTTATTGGTGATTTCAGACAAGTTAGAATTGAATTGTTGTACACAACAGTCCCAATAGATAACCTGTTGGAAATGAGTGCAAACAACACACTTCTAATTGAAATCTAAAATATACTGACAGGAAGAAGGTTTATCTATCGAATTGTCATTATCTCTTGTAAAGGCAAACCTATACGTGAAATAGTTTAAGGAAATGGCTATAGAAACATCTCCACTATATCCAACCACATGGCTTAGATACACAGATAGCATCTTTATACTCTGGACCCATCAGGAAGATGTGCAAATACTGCTGTATGATGTGAATAAGGTGAGTATAACAGCCAAAATGGACATGCTGGTCCGAATAGCAAAGTATATAATAATTTCTCATCGCAAAAATTCCAACAAAAATTATCTCCAAACAATTTATTATAATAAATTTTTCAGCATTGTTCTA